AAAAGGAATCGTGAACCCCCTACTTCTATGACTTCAAGAGAAGAGTTCAAATGATTACTCTAGTTTTGCTTCTCCTTTGATCTTTACTTACCTTGGTGCCTATGTGTGTACCTCTTCCCACGTCAAACACATGCAAAGCCACACTTTTCCACTCACTACACTGTTGCCCTCGGTACACACATCTTCGCTAAACACACACACTTATTCACACATAAAGACGCCTTTCCTACACTTACACACACTCTTCTGTTAGCTTAAATTGGTCTCGTCAGGGGTCATGTGATGTGGTTTAGCTGGTGAGCATTTAACAGCTGGACGCTGGCTGTTCAATTAACAAGCCTACCTGTTTGAATTTCCTTCCTGTGTCCGGCTTGCTACTCTGTATTTCTTCCATAATTGATTGGTCCTAAGATTGAATTGATTTTTAGTGTAATGTTCATGGACAATGGCAGTACGGCTATGAGGCAAATTATGGCAGTCCCAAAATGCATGCTTCCAAATTTTCAGTGATTGCCTCAGTTCTGGATTCCCAACTTGAAACACCTCATGTCTGATTTTCAGAACTGTATATCCTCAGCATCTCTGAAAACCAGGCACAAAAGGCCTGATTCTTCTCATACTTATACCAGTGTAAATCAGGAGAATATCCACTGAAGATAGGAGTTACATCATGCAAGGGAGATAAGAATCACATTCCCAGTCTTTGGACTTGGGTACACACATTTAGTGACAATATCTAAAGGTTTTGAACCTCCGCAATTAAATATATATATATATATATATATATATATATATATATTTTTTTTTTTTCCTGGGTCCACCACCTAAACGATAAGAGTTTGCTGTAGTCATTGTTTGCATTTAGCCTCCATTTGTACAACAGTAAATTAGAGTATTGACACAAATGTTTGCAGCCCCATTTGAAGGGAGCTGGTATTTGATTTCCTGTTTTAAGGAGATGGATAATCATAATGGGTTATTTCACAAATGTACCAAACAGAATGCATTTAGAGATAAACACAGCGCCTGCCTCCATACGCAGAGATATGGAGCCTTAGGATAAGAAAGCTAATGGTAAACATAAACAGGAGAGTTAATATTTGTTCTCCTTGGTGCTGTTGATTGGTTCAGCAAATCCTTCGTGGGCCATCTATGTTCAACAGCTCTACACAGTACACTTGAGCTAAATTACATAACAGTTTATACAGCCGCAATGGTAAATTGTGATTCAGATTGTAAAGTTCTGTCTCGTAACTATGCCATATTTCTAAAGCAAATTACTCCTTAATTGAATTACTCCACTTTGATATAAAAATACAGCACTGTCAATGAGTCATCCATTTTTTTCTGATACAGTTTGTAAAAGCTTCCGACTGTTTAAAGCAGGGGTTAATTTTGCATTAAGACCACTGCCTCCTGGTTTCTTTCAAATAAAGCCAGGGGAAGTTCAGGGAAAGGCTTTTTCTTTCGGTAATGAAGCTCTCTCATGTTAATGATCCATGCAGGCTCCCTTGGCTCCTTTGAATTAGAAATACTTGTGCCTGTGCTCCTCTGCTTCATTAACATTAAAGAGAGGTAGATTGGTGGCTATTTAGGGCACAGTGAAATTGTTGGCTATTTAGGGCAAATGAAAATGATGCTAATTGTGGCGGGTAAATTCCATTAGCGGTGTCGTCCCATTTTGGAGTTCCTTTGGCAAGGATATGAAAACAAGCACAGGGGCATCCTTTTGAAAGGAACGTGAGATCAACGTCAGGGTTAACTTGGACGAACTAACTCTTGCATAAAGTGGCAGGGCCCTCCCAAAACCTGGTTTGATTATTTTGGTGCTGAGGCCGGGTTAGGGTGCATGTGTTGGAGAGCTGGGGACAAAGCATTCCCAGTTGAGGTGATCCAGCTGTGGAACAAACTTCCAGAGGCTATTCAGGGAACATGGAGTATGACTGTCCTCAGGAAACGTTGCAAAACCTTCCTTTTTGGAAAGGCCTTCCCACCACAGGAATGACACTCACACCCCTTCCACCCAAAAAGCTCCAAACAACCAAAACGAAAAACAACCCCCAATCAACCGAAAACAAAGAGTAAATGAATAAAACCTAAAGAGAAAAAAACAAAAAAACCCACAAACCTTATCCCAGATTGAGTTTTTAGCCAAAACGGGAGAAATGCCAGTGATTCCATGAAGACAAGGGACTTTGCCATTGTTACTGATGATACATGCAAGGCACTCTCCTACTATGGTGGTGGGCAGCAGTGCAAAACTGTATGACTGACAGATTGTACCCAGGCTGGTTTGCCCAGCCTGAATTTCCTGTCCACTTTTACACCTATTAAAGGATGCTAGTTGAGAGCTCCCATGGAAAAACTGCCTCGAACACCCAGTTGCCTGTGGGCTTCAATATAATGCAGAGATTCTGTGAAAATAGAAAAACAAAAGGGACATGTTTCACTGAAGCTGGGGATTGTGGCCCTGAATCTCCTCTCACTTGCTGTGGTTTTACATCACTGTTGCACCATTGGTTTCACTGGAGTTACTCCTGATTTACACTAGTGTAAGTGAGAAGAGAATCAGAGCCTCTGTCACATGAGTACCCTCAGCTCACTCTGATAGTGCTATTACTCGTATGAAGGTTTTCCTCCGCACCTGAGCAGGTGTGAAAGTGCTCACAACCTATGACAGTACTCTAGTGCTTGTCAGTTGCTTGCTTAATTAGTGTGAATACCTTGGCCCATCTGATGGCTACAAGGGGAAGTTTATTAGTAGTGAACTACCTATTGAACCCTTCTAAGCTCCTTCCAGTCAGTTTCTATTGTTCTATTCTCCACACTCCCCTCCACCCACTATCCTGCTGCTGAGTGTTCTGTAAAAGGCAATAATCCTGGGAAGCGGCACGGGCCGAGGTATGTGCTGGCCACCCTTCCCGCAGCCCCCATTGGCCTGGAGCGGTGAACCGCATCCAGTGGGAGCTGCAATCGGCCGAACCTGCGGACGCTGCAGGTAAACAAACCGTCCGGGCCCGCCAGCTGATTTCCCTGATGGGCAGCATGCCAAAGGTTGCCGATCCCTGATCTAAGCTTTAGAAACTTTGCATGCACTAGAGAGAAAAAAATGCTGGATCTGAGCAACAGCTCCTGGAAAATCCAAGGGTTTGTTTAATGTTCAGCATGCATCTTCCTAAAATATCAGCATATACAAAATTCACAACACATCCACTTTTTAGGACCTGCTAGATATATCAGGACCAAAATTCAGTCCTGGTGTAAGCCCAGTGAAGTCCTTGAAGGCTGAAGCACCTGGCATTGGCACTGTTGGAAGACAGGATACTGGGCAAGATGGACCTTTGGTTTGACCCATTATGGCCGCTCTTATGTTCTTACAATTTGGGGGACAATAAGGGGCAAGAGAGGGCTGTCCTATGGTAATAGCTGTTTAAAAGCTTTGCGGTAATCAACATGGGTGAATCTAGTAATTCCAGCTGTACTTTATTCTTTTTAGCACTGGAATTCAGTCATCTTAACTACAATGTGTCTCACACACATGAATGTTGTCATTATTACTGTACATTGTTGAGTAGTTTTTGATGGACTGGACTGGAGCTAGGTGAGAAATGGGAAATTAGAGAAGAAGTATTTTTTTGAGTTTTTCGTTGGATGATCAGATAAATGGTTCTATGAAATCATCACCTGTTTTGTGAGGAGTTGACTAACCAAACAGTGGTCTATGATGCGATCCACACTCTCTCTTTCAAGTCTCCTCCTTTGTGCAGGAGCTGAAAAAGATATTTGTGAGCCTAAATGACATATGCTTCCCATTGTTTAATGGCCATTTTATAGATATTATTCATATATTTGCTCCCCCCCGAGAAGTTAACATTGTGGAAAGACATGTAATGCTAATGTGTTGCACTTATAGATGGTAGTGCTTTCCATCCAAAGATCTCAAAGGGTGGTAGAAACTCCAGTAAATGAAGCTTCATGAATTAGGTATTATCTGCATTTTAGAGACGGAATAACTGAAACATAGAGAAGTTAAGGCCTGGTCTACACTAACCCCCCAAGTCGAACTAAGGTACGCAACTTCAGCTACGTGAATAACGTAGCTGAAGTCGACATACCTTAGTTCGAACTTACCGCGGTTCAGACGCAGTCCACACGCGGCAGGCAGGCTCCCCGTCGACTCCGCGGTACTCCTCTCGCTGAGCTGGAGTACCGCAGTCGACGGCGAGCACTTCCTGGTTCGACTTATCGCGTCCAGACCAGACGCGATAAGTCGAACCCAGAACTTCGATCCCCAGCCGCCGAACTAGCGGCTGGGTGTAGACCAGCCCTTAGTGACAGAACTGGGAATAGAACCCATATTTCTGAGGACCCAATGAAGTCAATTGAAAGAATCCCGCTAACTTCAGTGGGCTTTGGATCAGGTCCTAACAACTGAAAAAAACTGAGGTAATGTCCTAGATGTCACACAATTCGGATATAGTCTTGTTCTGGCTTTAGGAAATGACTGTGTAGAAGGCCTGTTAATCAACTGAATAATCTCTGGAGCTGGCTGGAAACAGGACTTGTGAAAAATGTTGAAGTTTTGGGAACTTGTTTTCATTCCACATCGGTCCTTTAGAAATTTTTCATGAAAAAACATGAGAGCATGACAGAGCAAGAGAGAGCGAGAGACCCAACCTGCACTAGACCAGCAGTTAGGGCGTGCACCTAGGATCTGGGAGACCCAGCACTCCCTGCTTCAGAAAGTATGGTCTAGCAGATAGCGAACAGGCCTGGCTCTACCACAGACTTTCTGTGGAACCTTGGACGAGTCACTTCACCTCTGTCTCCTCTTCACTCTTTGTCTTTCTCATCTATTTACAGTATGAACGCCTCAGGGCAGAGCCTACACCCCCATCCCAGATAGGGCCTGTAGGCACTACTATAGATAGTATACAAATAAAATGTAATAATAATATTAAATGAAGGTTTGAACACAGATTTCATGTATTTTTTCCTAGAAAAGAGGCTCCAGACTTTCCTTATAATTTAACCGTGACGGATAGTAATAATAAGACAACCATAGTCCCTTACGTCTCTGATACTTTATCAAACCCCTATGGTTGGATGGCTCTGCTCTTGGACCAGGAGACTTACACTCTGACTTTTGGTAACCCTTTTGTCAGCAAACAACTGCAGGTAATGCTGTTATTTATTTATTTATTTATTTATTTATTTATTTATAAAATGGCTTTTGTAATGGATGAACAGCATTCACCAAAACCATATCAAGGAACAAAGGAAGAGAAACCCTCCCATTGTTCTGGATGGGCAAACAAAGGAGGAAGAGTACTGCGTGCTCATAAAAGAACACAAGATAGTCTTCAGATCACATACAGTCATTCAGAGCACCTTTATGAAATTGCTCTGAGCTGGAAGAGCATTCTGGGCGCTATTGGTGAATGTTCGCCCTGGTGCATGGGGCCAGAACAAGACCTATGCACCGCTTAAGACCCACCAAAGCTTGGTCTTGATGGCCCATAATTTCTACCCATGTTTTAATGTGGTCAGGAGGATTGATTTAGCATCCACTTCCCACGTATCATACATAGTCTTTAACATTCTATGCTTTTGATACCAATTGACAAAAGAATGCATTATACTTCAAGAAAATGCATGTTCATTATGTTTCCCTCCATCTAGTACTCGGCTACGTTCGATAACTTCATTGCTGGGAATTACTTACTGGTGGAACATGAGAACCTCCCATCTTATGTTGAGGTCATGGTGTTCTGTGGGACAAGGCCTGGTCAGCTACTCCAGTCACTTCCTTCACATGATCAGAACAAGGGCTGTGACTGGTTTTTCAACAGCAAATTGAGGAAGCTAACCTATTTAGGTAAGTGCAATGCAAGTAATATATGTAACTTTGTGCAAATGAGCAGTGCTGGAGTGGCCAATCTGCAATTAAAGGCCCTGATCTGCAAGGTCTCAGGCATGCACATAGCTTTAAGTCAATAGGACTACTCAAATAACAAGTTACGCACATCCCCAAGTCTTTGCAGGGTCAGGGCCTTAATCTCTTAGTTATCCACAATGGAGGGTACAGCATGAGCCTTGGCAACTGGTGCTTTGGAGGTGAAAAGGCTTTGGAGTCCATTATCAATCCCTTGAATCCCCCACCTTAAATGTCTTAGGAGACATTTGCTGTGAGTCCAATCCTGCACCCACTGAAAGTCATGGGAGTATTTTTTTTTTTTGGACTAAGGATTACTAATATGAAGAGTGGATCCTTACATTGTGAACTCTCAGTGGCTTTGTAGGCCCATGGGTTTGAAAACGTTGACTTTTTTAGAGATAATTTCTAAATATTGTGAATATTGACTGTTCTTTATTGTGATCACCAATGCCTGCTAATTTTGCAATTTGGCATTGACAACCTCTTCAAAACCTGGGACTTTCACCCCTTTATCCTTTTCTCCAGGAAATCAGTCACTATGGTGCTAAATTCTGGTTGTGAAAGGAGAAGTAATGATTAGGACCATGATTAATAATGGCAGTACCGGAAGTCACTAGACCCTCACAGTACCTTTGAGAGGCAGCTATTCTCATTGCTATTTCATACATAAGCTATATCTATACTGCAACCAGGGTGTATCTTGGAGCTCCCGTAGATGTACTTGCACTCCCTTTATTCCAGTTTATACGGTTAAAAACAGCAGGGAGAACACCGTGGTGCAGGCTTCAACGCAGGCAATAGACCCCCCCCGGATAGTGTACTTCACCGTAGTGTAGACATACCCTTAGCTAAGCTAAAACACAGAGGGCCTGAATCTGACTCACCTAGACCATTTTGACACTCATACAACTTCATTGGCTTTATTGAGTTACTTCTGATTTGCACTGATTTGATTTGCAGTAAAACCTAGAGAAGTTAAGTCACTCGCCCAAGGTTGAGCTAGACATCTATCACAGAGCAAAAAATCTTGATTTCTTTGCAATTTACTAACAGTAAGGAGGGGGAAAAAGACACACACAGCTACATGCAAATCTGAAGATAATCCCCACTGAAGACCTATTATTTCAAGTACATATATGTCAACAGTTGGGCACTTTGGATACCCTGCATAAAATTTCCCCTGAAATAGGGAAGCCTGGCAAAGCTGAAAAACCGTGGCACATTTCTTGGCACGTTATTGACATTAAAGAAGTAGATCTGACTAATGCTGTCAGCAATAGTGAGCTATGATATACCATTTAGCACGCAGCAGTCTCAAACATAATGGTTACATTTCTATTCCTCCTTTCGTCTTATTTTCATTCTGATTGCGTTGCATTTAGTACATGGTTTTTTTAATACAGGGAAAAAGAGATTCACGTCTAGCATTCAAATGAATGAAAACATCTCCATCTCCCATTTATAATCCATGCTGAGAACATTTGACTAGACTGCAACTGGTACTTTACTTACATTATAATGGGGAGACCACTAATATAATATTTGTTACTGAAAAGCTAACTTTGTGGTGAGGGAGAAAATCTGAAATGAATGGATTTGTAGTGTTGAGGTGCCACTTAATTGCTATCCTAAACTCTAGTGCACGTCACTGGAAGTTAAAGTTACACAATTTCAAATCGAAAATAAGGCACACCTTTTTAACAGTGAGGATTATCAACCATTGGAACAAAACTACACAAGGGTATCGTGGTTTCTCCAGCACTCGAAGTCTTTAGATCAAGTTTGGATATCTTTCTAAAAAAAAAAAAAGTCTCTAGCTCCATCACACGTTATTGGACTCCATGCAGGAATCACTGGGTGAAATTCTCTGCTCTGTGCTCTGCAGGAGGTCAGACAAGATGGCCACAGTGGTCCCTTCCAGCCTTAAAATAGATGAATCTGTAAATTGAAACAGAGAGAACGACACTTTTGGTTTTAGCCCTCGGAACGCTCTGCTGTTTAACATTGTGAGCTGTTTTTTTATTTTTGTTACATTTAACTATATGAAATAATTAGTCAACTAATTAATCCAGTTTACAAGCTTTGTAGGATTCTTCAGCTGTCACTCACATCCAAGCCTGAGACCTATGTTTAGTCTCAGTTCTCTTGTTCATGTGACTTGGTCTCCATGGCTACTGGCTGCATCTGCTGACACCCTACTCTCTATTTACTGCTTAATTAAGAATTTCACGCTCAGCCCTTATCTGCTGCTAAGAACAAGAACACACTGTTAAGAAATTCCAAATTTAGGCTGCTGCACAAGGAAAGCCTTTCTTGTAGGCCTGACTGTGTGGAGCCTCTTTAACTATTCTCTTGGCAACTGAGCTGCCACCCTTCAATCAAAAATCATTAAATGGGGCAGAGATAATGAGCATGTAGCATATCAAAAGGAGGATGTTTGCTTGTGCTAAGGAGGAAAAGCTGTAAGGGCCTATAAGCAGCCGCCACTTCAAAGGAAGAGGGGGCCGCCCCGTCAGCAGGGCTGATAAAGCATCATTTGTTCCTGCTTGACTTATGTAAAAGGTCTGGTATGTTAGAGTCCCGTCTTGCAGACGCGAGTCCGCGCTCTTGGTGCTCGTGTGTCAGCAGTTAGGCAGCTGGGCCCAAACAGCATCAGCCAGAGCATATAATCACTTGACTCCGTCTCGACAATGGACACTTGTAGGGGGTGGTCAGGGGGAGGTCCCTAGGATAATAGGAACACAATTATTGCAGCTGCTAGGGAGGGCTATAATTCTTCCTGGAGAAAGTAGCAGGCCCTCGCAGAGCTGGGGGAAGACCTTGAGTGTATTATTCATATTCTGACTTTTGGAAGCACTTTGCTGTACCGGTGGGGTTCCAGCAGCTGCTCATGTATCGCCTCTCTCTAATAATTGTACATTCTGTCAGGGGTCAACTTACTTTTGACCCTCTCCCTTTGTGCCAGTTAAAAGACTTTTTAGGGCAAACTGTTGGGTAGTGGCAGGGGTGCATTAAATCCAAAATTAACGTCAGTAAATACGGATCAGATGCCAGCTCATTCAGAGGCAGGCTCCTAAATTCACACAGCCCTTTGCTCAGCCCCAATGGAAATTAAAAAAACGACCCAACAACTGGGAAGATATTGTTATTCAAAAAAGCCAAACAGCTGAATGAATCTGCCTCAGCCAGCATTGGGGACTGCTCATGTTCAGCTCAGATGCTCTCTATGCCCCCCTTGTCTGATCGGTCACGGAATTTGACCAGCATCCTGCAAGCTCTCGTCTTCGGGGAATGAGGCTTTCTGACACAAAGGACGAGAAAATATAAGGTTGGGAACAAGGTGGTTAAGCTGCCCCGGTGCTTTACTTGTTTGGAAATTAGAGCGTGGAACAAACAATTCAGAAGACTCCTAATGTGGAGGGATTATAATTATAATGGGCGATAAGTAGAACCCACAGAATCCAGTGTTTCTGATGCATGGAGGACACATACAATGATCCTGTTAACCAAGGTGCTGACTGCTACCTACGCACATTAATCCTGTTAACTAACTCCCATGCAGCCCTTTGAAAAAGGATCTTTTCAGAAGTTCAAAATACAAGGTGCTCACGGGCAGATTATTCCCCTCCGCTGCTGGGAGCTGGGGGAAGAGGGTTATAGCCTCCTGTGCTGAAGGAATTTGGGGGCTACTCTCATCCATACCTCTGTAACTATGCTCTTAGGGTTGCTATGCATCCTTGTGTACGTGGGAAGATGCTATTTTCCTCCAGGACATCTTGTGTCCCAAAAGAAGTGCTCCGAGAGCATTTGTGGGTCCTGTAGTCACTATCTGCCCCCATGAAACACTAACCTACTGTGACACAGGCTCACGTCATGACTGTGTTTTGATGCGACATCTCCACGTTGTGGCATGGTGATCTCATGTCACAGTGTGGGGAGGTAAATGTCATACTGGGGCAAACTCAGACAATGTCATCTTTAAGTCTGAGGTATTCTATGCAAACTACAGTAATGACTTGTTTTGGACTGTCAGCTCTTTGAGACAGGGACTGTCTTTTCATTATGTAAGTGTACAGCACCTACCAGGACGGGGCCGTGATCCTTGACCGGGGCCTCTGGGCAGTACCACCATATAAATAACCAGTGGAATGTATTTTAAAACCCTAGTGTTGTGAAACCCTTCAAAATTACAAAGTTGTTTTCATTTCGAAGAGTTCAAGGTGGAACCCTTTTTCATTTGTTGTTCAATTTTTATGACCTTTTTATTATTATTATTAATTACATTTGCATTGTGGTAACGTCTGGGAGCCGAGTCTTGAACCTGGATCCCATTGTGGGAAGCACTGTACTCATACGTACAACAAAAATATAGTCCCTGCCCCAAAGACCTTACAATCCAGGTATAAATCAAGACATACCAGATGGATAAATAGACAGGTGGGATCAGGGAAATGCCAGGAAGCAATGGGACAGTATTGGTCAACATGATAGACAGTGGTCTCAGACTGACTGTTAGGTTTTTTTGCAGGCATTGTGGCAAACGAGAGTTCAGAGGAGAGATTTGAAGGTGGATAATGAGGTGGCTTAGCAGATCTTTATGGGAGCAACTCCCAAACATAACGGGCAGCATGGGAGAAAGCATGAAGGTGCTTGTTTGAAAATTTAGTTAGTGGGGAATGAAGGTGGAGGTTGACCTCTCAGTAGTGAATCAGAGATGATAGGTAGGGTGGGGATAGGCAGTGAAGGGCCTTGAAAATGAAGACAAGTAAGCTTATTAATTGAAACATTTTTAGTTGAAATATTTGTCAAAAACATGATTGAAACTTTATGAACATTGTTACTGAACTTTTTCATTTACTCCAAACCCATTTTCCAATGAACTTAATATATGTACCTTGTCTCCTTCAAGTCAATGGGACTACTCACATGTAAAGTTACAC